CCTATCTAATGTTATCTCAATGGCATCTCATGGTTATATCCTGCCATAAAGAACTGGAAGAGGTAATGGACTTCCGCATTCCCTGTGCCGTTTAAAATATAATCAAATCCGATAGCACTCTCAAAGTGAATATACCTTCTGAAAACAAAATTAAAGATTTGTGATGTTTAAACGTAATAAATTAAATCGTTACTTGAACATGATACAGAACAGTTTTGATGAACTTTTTAAGCTGTCTCTGGGGGAAGTGTGGGACTTCAATTCGTTTTATTTTCCCATCTGACAATAAAAGAAAGATTGTTTTCGCTCCCCTGTCGAAAATAGACGTCTCCAGTTTTTGTAACTTGTTTTGTTGAAAGCACAAAGAGATTTTATTTATTCGCATCAAGTCCATACCCTTATCAATATAGATAAGTTTGATTCTATTGCCTTTTTAGTATTTCTCAATAGGCTACTACGTCAACTCGCTAACTGTGTTGTCGGGTTTGAATCATAGCGGAGAGTACTAATGAATTCTCCTTTTTCGGATGAAGCACTGCTAAACAATACTTGGAACCCACCTTTATATCTCATATTGATTTGTTTATATTTCTAAACAAATTCGAATAAAATCTTAAATTAAAAAAATCTTTATTCGAACCATAATTTCTTTCAAAGTATACCAGTACCGTAACTCTTTCGTGCTATGCTGTAATCAAGAAACATTTATATTACTGTAATAAACCGTGCCAGATTGTCACAGGCACAAATGTATATTATAATTTGGACGGAGAGCAACGTTAATTGGTATAATCCGACAAATGGAAATGCCAATTAGAAATTCTTTCGTTAAACGCTTCAATTCAGCAAAATCAATCTAACGTCTGATATTTCTATTAATAGAATTATCCTTTCAAAGGCTATTAAGAAAAAATTTAAAACAAAACCAAGTTTAGAGGTCGTCATAATATCAAATATACAAAACAATAAGCATTTGAGCTAATGCTGGTAAATGTCACTATTTGTTTAGTTATCCTTAATCAAGCTGAGTAAAATCGTAGTAGAGTAAAATCTATGTCGATATCTTGGAATTAGATAGTCAGCATTGAGAAAGTACTACTATGCGTTTACACACCATTAAACAACGCAAAGTTCTAAACATTTTCAAGTTCAAGGTCTTCAAATATGACACATATGAGCGAATCAGATGATATACGTGTGCGTGCCTCAGTTTTGGTGCGCTAGTGTCATATCTACCTCGTATTTTTATATAATACTAGCTGTGCACGCGACTTCGTCCGCGTGGAATTTAAAATAAAAAAAATCTAAAATAAAAGTAGCTTAAGTTACTCCTTATTACATCAGCTATCTGCCAGTGAAAGTCCCGTCCAAATCGGTCCAGCCGTTTCAGAGATTAGCCGGAACAAACAGACAGACAGACAGACAAAAATTGTAAAAAATGTTATTTTGGTATATGTACTGTGTATACCTCTATATTCATATAGTAAAAAGCGGTTATTTTAATATTACAAACAGGCACTCCAATTTTATTTTTCTGTATAGATGTATAGATGAAAGTGAATTTTACATTTCTGCTCGTTTCTTGTATTTCCTGAACCGGCCGTAGTTTTCTATAATTATTTATCGAATGCTTTAAAAAACTTTAACCGCACCGTCAAACAGAAAAAGGTTAATCATAGTGATTTGTCGGCCGTACACGCCATAAATGCCCTTGGCCGTTGGTACCCTTGATACAGTTTGAACAAGTTTGAATTAGTGAATAATACAAGCGTCGTTACATTTAATTCAAAATTAGTTGAGTGTTTAAATATAGCAAGTTGGTATATATTTACATGGCTATACAAATCTCAAGAAGAAATACTAAAAGAATGGTACAGAAAGGTTTTTATTGTGATAAGGTGGCAATCCAGCTGGCAGTTAACCTGATGTTAAGTCACAACCGCCGCCAATTGACATTTGCAACACCCGTAGGGTTGCAGCTGCGTTGCTACCTTTTAATAAAGTGGGCATTGGCTACCTCACTCACCAGACTGAGTCAAAGTCAAAGTCAAAATATCTTTATTCAATATGGGCTTAACTTAACTTAACTTATTGAATGTCAACAAAAAACTACCACCGGTTCACTAAACGAGAACTAACAGAGAAAAACTGGCAAGAAACTCTGCGGTCTTGTTCTTTTTGGTTTTTTTTTTTGTGATGCAATTATACAAACTTATTTAGGTATAAAATCAGCACTGCAGATCAAGAGTCATTTCCACACATCCTTGTCCATGTATTCTTGGACGTTGTAGTAGGCGCCTGCCATTAGGGTAGCTTTTACAAATTGTTTGAAATTGTTTATACTTTTTATTTGTAGATGTCACCTATTTTATTATAAAAGTTGATGCATCTACCAAGAAACGACTTGCTGGTTTTAGCCAGTCAAAACCTCGGTACTACCAAAGTGTCACCACGGCCCCGACGCGATCTGGAATGTTTTTTCGTAAATATATGGATATTATTACGTACATACATGATGTTCTCAAGAATGTAATGCGACGAGAGCGTTAAAACGTTTATTTGCTTTAATAAATGCCGTAGTGACGTGGACCCAAGCCATAGAGAGGGCGTATAGCCTGAAAAGAATACGAAACGCAGTAAGATATCAATTCTTCTTCAATGGTACTTCCCAGACAGACCTGTACATTCGTTCAATAGTGAAGACTGTCGCGTAGCCCTACCGCCTTCAGACTTCACTCCTGTATATAAATCATATCGCTCTTGTATATATCACGGGAGGGCAAAGATTTGTTCTTCCTTTGTTCAGAAACTACTATCATGCCCTTAGCATAGGCGGTCAAACCACCAAAGCCGTTGACAGACTTCAAAACGATATGAAAGATTTCTCTTGACCACACTGCGGCTCTTGAAACTGATAATACTCACAGATAGCAGTGATTAAAACGTCTCTATAGAACGGGGTGGTTTAATTGTGATAAAAAAGCCATTGTAAATGAAATGTTTTGATTGAAATACAAAATAAAAGTGTTATGCAAGTTAGTTTCAACCAGCCTAACGGTCGTTTCCGAAGCCCAGTACGGCACTAACATATTTAAGTAGGTACCTAAATGATGCATTAGAAATGTTGGCAGCAAGCCACGACTATATTACCTGGACGTGTTCCAAAATTAATAGAGCAACGATGCTTACCTCCATACATTGGCAAATAAGAATTAGTTATAAACCAGTATAGGTTAAAATCGAAAATTAAGACTGTATTGCGTATTTTAATCTAAATGAGAATTCTATGAATAGGTAAGAATTTTAATATTTGAAAAATTTATAACGGGTAGATGAAATTTTTGCAACAGTAAAGACTGATGCGTGGCCCTTCATCGTTTATCCAGACCAGTACGATTTAGGGCCCTCAAGATTAGAGCCTGTATTTGTCGAGCCTCTACTTCGCTAACGTAACGCTTTTGTGACTATTCTTGCGTTACGAGTGTCCATAGACAGTGGTAATCGCTTGCCATTAGATAACCCACTTGCTCTTTTTTTTATGTGAGAAAATGGCAAACGAGCTGGCGGTTCACCTGATGTTAAGTGATAACCGCCTGCTCATCCCAACACCCGTAGGGTTGCACATGCGTTGCCACCTCTCAATCATGTGGGCCCCGGCTACCTCACTCACCAGACGAAACGCAGAAGTGCAACACTTCTACTTCTACGTTCTTCTGTGAGGTCGCGATACTAACCCGGACGGACCTGCCCATTCGAAGCGAACACGTTGCGTGGCCCTACCACCGTAAATCTTTTGCCAACTATTCGATAAAAAAATGGATACCTTTGGCCGATTTTATTTTATAAACCGATAGTCTAAGGGTGTTTTTGTTTTTCTTTGCCTACGTTTTCGTTTGTTTAAAATAGATCTACGAGTATATCTAAAACCGACAGAACTTATTTAAGTTGGTGTCGTTTATCACTCAGAAAGTGCACTTAATTTTCGGTTTGTTTTTATTCCATCAATTGAGATAGACCGAATCCACTCGTTTAGACTGAATACTGCAGTTTAAAGTTCATTGTATAACCTATTTTATATTTATCATGCGGTTTACGTTACACCAGATACATCACTTTGTCTTATTTTTCAAACATAATGCAAAAGCTAAAATATACATGAAAAGAATTTTTGAACTTAAAGGTTGGGCATGCAAATTTCGTAAAAACATATGAAAAGTGATAGAAGCCACAAAAAAAATAAAGATATGTACGGTCGAATTGAGAAACCTCCTTTTTGAAGTCGGTTAAAAATATTCTGTATTTACTGGTAAAAACAATCTAAATACAAGTGTAACTTAATACAGTTGTTTTGCAATCAACCTTTGTTAACAAGTTACAAACGAGTTTGTGGTTTTTACCGAGAGCTGATATTTTCAGCAGTTACATTTATTTTCATGGGTTGATTAAATTTAAACAAGTTTTAAATGTGATTTTTTATTAAAGTAACTAAAATTTTGTTTAGTCCACTCAAAACTTTGTTTTATATCAAGTAAATCATTGTTTACGTTTAAATATATTTCAATTCCTTTGGTTTATAATCTAAAACCAGTTCCGCTCAAGTTACTAACCTCACCCGACATTTCTTTATTAATTTAGTAAAAGGTTAAGTACGCAATTGATAATTTATTTAAATTCATGTATTCGTCATTATTTTCGGGGAGCTTTTGAAGGTTAATTCCAAGATATTTCTCACGAAACATACCAAAATTAGCATAGAAGGGACTTAAAAATGGACGAATACCAAATGGTTTCACTACCTATTTTAACGAATATAGATTTTTGGCAAGTTTTACGCTTTTTACATTTCTTACTTATGAAATTAACCGTTACTTATACATTACTGTCTGGTGTTCGAAAACAAACTGCAAAATTGTTACATATGGAGCTAATTTTGCTTGTCCACATTTTATTTTTCGTTGGTACTTTAGAGACGGTAGGACAATTATTTCTATGACTTATAAATGATTGCTCTGACTGGAGGTGATTCATGTATGAATGAAGAAAGTCTGTTATTTTTTTAACGGGAATTAAACAAAATATTGATATGAACTCACTACGACTTTTGGTAGCAGTGTTACATTAAGTAATAGAAATTGTACAATTTAAAAAGTCGTTTAATTAAAATACTAAAACGATTCTACATCAGTTCTATTTTCGACCCTCGCAAAAATCTAAATTATGTTAATGATTTTTATCCAATTATTCTTTCTCACTTGCACATATTCTTATTTTATATTTTTTATTTTACCTTAATTTAGTTGGACTATTAATTTTAGATTCAACAAATAAGACCTCTTCTAGTAAATTTTAATTTAAGAAAGCCATCATTAAAATACAAATCTTCGTTAAATCAATCTTTTTTTTCGTTCAAAGATAAACAAATGTTTTTTAATATATTCATCTCTTTCTTATTGTCTGACTGTATATAACAACATAATAATAATAGTATTTATTTCGCAGATGGAAACATCCGGAACGAGGTAGAACTGCGGGGGCGCGGCACGGTGCCAGCGTTCCTTCAGGAGTTGCACTCAACGCTGGCGCCCGCTGCCGCGCCCGGTCAAGACTGGCAGCATACCCTCGTCCTTGTCCTCAAGGGCTTGGTCTTCATCACCATCATTCTGGGTGCCCTCTTCGGGAACGCGCTGGTCATCATATCGGTTCACCGGCACAGGAAGCTGCGGGTCCTCACCAATTACTACGTCGTCAGTCTTGCTGTCGCTGACATGTTAGTCGCTCTTTGCGCGATGACCTTCAACGCCAGTGCCGAACTGACTAACGCCTGGCTCTTCGGTCCTTTAGTCTGTGATATATTCAATTCACTCGATGTTTACTTCTCAAGCGCTTCTATATTACACCTCTGCTGTATATCCGTTGACAGGTATTACGCTATCGTCCGGCCCTTGGAGTACCCTGTTACTATGACGCACAGGACTGTTTGTTTCATGCTTGCCAACGTATGGCTTTGGCCAGCTTTTATTAGCTTTGTTCCGATTTTCATGGGCTGGTACACGACGGAACAGCATCGGCAGTACCGAAAGCAACATCCAGACGTTTGCATGTTCAAGGCGAACATGGTATATGCAATTATCTCCTCGAGCGTCTCTTTCTGGATTCCTAGCCTGGTCATGATCTCAATGTACTGCCGAATTTTCAGAGAGGCAATAAGGCAAAGGGAGGCCCTAACAAGGACTTCCTCAAATATTCTCCTAAATTCTGTTCACCTAAGGCACACGTCGCACGCGGCCCATCACTCTCACTATCTTCATCCCGATAGGAGGCCCTCAGACATCAGCCCCAATTACAGCACTTTTACAGAAGTGGGCCCAGAAGAAACTGAATTCGGCGGGGAAGTAGTAATGGCGCTAGGAGACATTTGCCCGAGCAAAGAAGCAAGTCCTAGAAAGTCAGTAAACGTCAGTTGTGATACAGCCAGCTCAGGATACTGTTCAGGAGGTTCGAATAAAAGATCGTCTAGTGGACAGCCTCCGATTGGATGGAGGCCAAGTTGCTCCTCAGCTGTTGCTACCAAAGATTTGGCAAAAGCTGCCACTGAGCTTAATTCCCAAGGTAATCACCTTCACCAGTTTTAGCATAAATTAACTTAAGGTATTTTAAGTTATTTTGTAGTGCTCTAAGAAATTATATCTAGAATATTAAATTATACTAACAGTGCCATGATCACCAATATGCGGCTCCCCAACTTTGGCCATGGGCCTTTTTAAATCATCATCATCATTGGAAGCATTAAAGCCGTGGGTGGGCCAGACTAATCTGGTCAAGCAAATTTCTCCAGTCCGGTCATTTCATGGCTTCCTTTCTTCAGCCTATCCCTCAAGATCTTAGTTTCCTTTTCGATGCCGTCCAAACCATCTTCGATGATCCTATTTAAAGTTCCGAGAGATGTGTAATTTCTAGTATTCACCATGCACAGATCATCTTTCTTCTCGCAGAGTACGGCTTTGCGTTAACACAAATAACTATTCAATCCAACTAATGACATGACATTTATACAAAAAATTCGTGCTTCAAAATTCAGCTAAAATATATTACATATTTTGCATAATTTCTTAGTAATGTTTAGTTTTAAATTACACATGAAAATATTTTCAGGTAGAAAAAATTATTAAAATCTTAGACATACATATTTCTTAATATGGTCATTATCATCATCATTTCGCCCTATTTGAGTCCACTGCTGAACATAGGCAAGGTAGGCTGTGGGGCAGCCACGGACTGCCACGAAGCACCACCCTAAGCCATCGACTTCCCGCACACACATAATTTGTATAAACTTTGGCGTTATTTCTCTAACTCGGGCTATGAAACAGTTTTAAAATCGACAGGAGCTACACTCAGAGCCACAGGAAAATCTTGGCGGGCCGAGCATAAGGCTGCCCGCACACTTGGCATAATTGTCGGCGCTTTTTTACTGTGCTGGCTACCGTTCTTTTTATGGTGAGTAAAAAAATTGGACTCGTTTACAGTTTATAGGTTTCCCAAAACTGCTCATTCAGATGAAATCTATAAAGCCCACGTAATAGTGAAAGAACCTTTTTTATGGCTAAAACAAAATGAAACTTTTTACTTTTTATCTCTTTCGTTTAAGTCTTGCTTTTTTAATCTCCAGTTTTATGAATGAAAATGGCATTATTTTTTGAACAAACGATTTATATTGTCTACTAGTTTCGATCTCTGTAAATCGTACTTCTATCTTAAGCTACTTTAAATTACTTATAGAGAAGCTTGATTATAAGGAGCTGGGAACTCTCCTCATATATTAAATTCAGTATCACTCAATAAGCTGTAAGGATTTTTATTTTATTTTTTTGCCAAATAACTTTGCAACAAACACGTCTTAAAGATATCGTAGCTATCATATCATTACGGCCTAAAAAATGAAATGGTGTCAACAAGACTATCTAACTTAATATCCGGTCAATGAAGATAAGGATTAGGAGTGCAAATGTAATGTGAAGCTATAAACTAGTAATTATAGTAGGAAAGCTACAACAATCTTTCTCCGTTTTATGCTAATTTGTTTTTGGAGGAGGCCAATGTTCTGCATAAGCGTTACTGTGGGTTGCTTTCATCATGATTATTATGTTAATGCCTGTAATGATGAAAATTATAGTGACGGCATTAAAATTCTTCCCGCTGTTCCTACAGGTACGTCACCACCAACGTGTGCGGCGAACCCTGCGAAACGCCTGACATCGTTGTGGGCGTTCTGTTCTGGATAGGTTATTTCAATTCGGCACTCAATCCCCTGATATACGCGTATTTCAACCGGGACTTCCGGGACGCCTTCAAGAACACACTCATGTGCGCGCTGCCCTGCTGCTTCGGGTGTTGGAAGGATACAGGGGGGACGCACTTTGTTTAGCTATATATACCACGACTTTAACGCGAAATGCGTCTAGATCGTTCATTTGTGTTACTTCGTAAAGTTACTTAAGTAATAGCAAGACTATGACTTTAACACGAAATGCGTCTAGATCCTTCATGTGTGTTAATTTTTAGAGTTACCTCTGTACCTCATATTCATGTGTAAAACATTTTATCGTTTTATGGTTTATAAAGTTCTTGTTTTTTATCTTCTTTTATCTTATATCCCTCGTTTCTTTCTTCATTCGAATGATTTAGATGTTAAAAAGTTAGACTTTACCAGATTATACATACACCATTGATAGCAATAATTTTAAATATGCCATAAGTAAATAGTATTAGTAAGGTAAGGATAAGAGACGACGCTTTTTTGAAAGCTGTATAAAGCAATTTGTTATTGAGTTCCTAGATTTAGTACTCGGTAAGTTATAATATAGTGATATTATCTTAGTGATGTTTTAATTTAGCAATAATTTACAAGGAATTTGATTAGTTTGTAATTGCAAAAGTGTGGTGTGCTAGGCGTTGTGGTAGTTCAGTAGTTTCGGGTTTCTGTTTTATGAAAATCGAGTCAAACTTATACCGTATAAGTATTCCAATAATGGAACGATTACTTTTAATAAATATAAGAATAATAACAAGCGGGTTCGCTCGCTTTCTGAAGGCATGTTAAGATCATTTTATGTTCGTGCGAGCTCGACCTTTTTATTTATTTGTTTTGAATTTCGCTCTTTATTATTATTTTTTTGTTTTTCATCTAATTTTTTTAAAATCATTTAATCATAGTTTTATTTTTGTTATATTTAAAAAAAATATGGTATTTTTTTATAATATTTTTCCACTGCAATGATTGAAATTATTTTTTTGTTTGTAGCGGTTCATTTTAAATTATAACGGCACGACGTATGTTTTAATAGTTATTAAACGCATAATGTAATGGAAAAATGTGTATGCCAGAGGAGTACCTATAAAGAAACGTCAGATTCTTGAGAGGAAATTTGGAGAATTTCTGATAATAATGCTTTGAGCAATTTCAAATTTCATAGATTCGATACATCACATACGATTATGAACTTAGCATTCGGTCCAAGCAATAATACTCGATTGTCTTAAAGCGTTCTCAGTTCAAGTTGAACTGACATTTTTAACTTGTCACGAAAATGTGAAATCGCATTTGGTGTGGGCACGATTGTCGCTAATACTTCATGCGACTTCTGTAAGTTTTTTAATAAAGTATTTTCACGAAATACTAGAGTAGCGTACAAAATAGTGCGGATGATGACACCGTAGCGCAGTTGCCACGGCATTGACTTCAGCGTCGGGGGTCGTGGGTTCGATCCCCACACGGGACAGCATTTTTGTGACCCACAGATAGTTGTTTCGTATCTGGGTCCGCGTGAAATTTATGTTTGTAAAACGTCCTTACAACACAGGATAATGTTAAATGTCCTCCCATTATATATCTCCATCCCCATTTATAAGTAAATGTACTAATATGTACACTATGTTTCCTGTATTTTCTTTCTATGTATTTCCTTGAGTGCAATAAAGTATATTCTATTCTATTAATTTCCAGAATAATTTCTTAAAATATCAAACTGAAGGCTAAATTTGATAATGGCAAAACATATTTGTAAACTTGGCTCGAGTGAAAATTATCTTACACGAACGAAAAAGCATAATCTAAAAATAGCAAAATGAGAGAATCTATACTTTTTGATATACTAATAGTTTTAATAAACTTAAAACGAATCGAAATAAGCAGCACCGTGTTCATTTAAGGCTAAGCGATTTTTATATTGATAGAAGCAATAATAGAATCTGCGTTGTACAAGTTGTGATAAATTAGTCATAAGTTTTGTAAAATTCAAATTATTTGCTGGTAATGATACGCTATATGTTAAAATAATATGTATTATATAGAGTTTCAGAATTGTATTGTGATAAAGACGAGTGATTCCTAACGTCGATTGCGAACCTCAAATTATTGCTTTGGCTAGAATTAACACGTGCTTTTTTATATCTGTAACTTTAATACTAAAATTATTTTACTAGGTTTCATGCTATTTACTCTAAGATACTTTCATATAGATACTTTCATAGAATATTAAAACGGATTCTTTATTATTCAATAAGTTACTTTAACATAGTATTAGAATTCATTGTAATTTTTTGCGAAAGGGGAAAGCAAATACGTAATTTTATAATTGTATTTTATAAGATATTGGCTATTAAAGTGTATCATTTTAGCTGTATCATGTTAGGTTGTTTTTAAGAAATTGACATTAATTAATCGTGTATTTAGCTGTAGAGTTATATTATATTATTATTTTAGCGAAATGATAAATTGTATTTAGATTTTCAGAAATACAAATATCTTCTTCTTTCTTTCTTTATGGCTTCTCTGTAAAGAATTCTGCCAATGTCAAGTCAGTCATGGGAGTGACAAGAGAAAGTACAGATATTTTTTTGTCAGAAGAATGTCAGGCAATTGATGAAGTTGACAAATGATAATTATACCCACAACATCCTAGTTCTTTATAATTTATTTAGGTTAGTCGAGCATTTTAAAAAGAACATCATGTGTTATTAATCGTTGTGTTTAAAGGTAATAGGACCGCAGCAATAATTACTATAGCTCCATGTTGTTATTTTTATTCACGTCTCCGTCCGTGCTCTAGATTGCACTAGAGAAATTATGTTGAGAAATTGTGTATCACAGCATGGACAAAATTCAATTGTTCCAACCGAAAAGTTTCATGACATGGAAATATTTAATTTTTCTTTATCGACAATTTTTATATTACAGTTAAAATGGAAAAGCAAGGTTTCAAGACGGATACATTTTAAGAATCTAAAATAAACACTTTTAAATTAGGATGATGATGTAAATAATATAAAATTGTAACAAAGCTGAAATTGCTTTTTCAATGTAAAATTCCTTAATAATTCTATTTCAATTTCTATTCAAGATAACCTAGATCAATATTGAGCAATTTCATTTAAAAATACTTTTGTTTTACCTGAAGTCTCGCAATATTTGATACATTCTCTTTAAAAGTAGATAACTATAACGGATATGGACATAGATTAATTCTAATGTCCAGTACTTGTGATGTATGTAGTTTAACCCATTAATAGAAGGGCAGTGCAATACAGGAGCTTATACCCAATGTTTCTTCGAGTATTAAGATTGTAAGGCCTGTTTAAGGTAACATTTTATTTAAAACTCCTAAAAGGAGGTTTATATGTGTAAAAACAACTTTAGTTGAACCTTAAGAGATGATAGTGATCCTTTATTATTAGAGGTAAACGCAATATTCCTGGAATAAGCAGATGAAACAAATTACCAAAAGAGCAAATTACCGGCAATATTGCATGTTCTTCAATCTTACAGTCAGTACTTTGTTGATAAGGTAGTAATATAAGGTTTGTAACAACATGAAACATTTTTATCTAATTCAAAGTTTGATGTATTAATTCAAAGTTACGTTACAAAACATGTGAAAGTGTTTGATAAATTAATCTTCTATTTACATGATTCAGAACAATGTTTGATTAAAACATTGTGTCATTAAGTTACACTTAACTACAAATAGAAGATTTATTGGATATAAGGATGTATTTTAGAAAATGTAAATAGTGTATAAAAATTGTATCTATAATAAATAATGAGCAATAATTGTTTATGGCCGTAATTTAAGATTAGAAAACTTACACAGTGTATAAAAGTTGTGTAATAGAGTTAAACTAAACATAGATAAAATCTGATTCAATTTTCATCACTGAAAGTTTTGTTTCAATAATCAATAGTCATCAGCCGTTGTAAGTGTTATAATTAAATTACAATAAATAACTTACGATCACAGACATGACTGTTATTTTAATTAAGAGAAAGTCGAATATACATAATGCTATCCTGACATAAATATCATCGCTGTGATAGATTTATCGTCGTTCTGAAGTAGAAAAAACCTGAAATGCTAACTCCGCAATATATAGTGCTGAAACAGTTTCTGTGAGGCTTTTTTTTGTTATTCAACACATAACTAAACTGTTTCCCAATCGGAGCATTTGTACATTTAATTTAAAACGAAATATACGAGATTATTGTTGACTTTGGCATAAAACCGACTTTTAGCTTTTTAAGTTTTATGGAGAATACTGTTTCCGTCTAATACACATGCCTTGTGTTTTTATGTTATCTATATTTCGTTTTAAAACGTTGGTTTCTTTTTTTTTTTTTTTTTTTTATATTTTTTTCTAATATTAACTTGCTTTACAATGTGTCACTAATAGCTTTAGGCGAAAGGCTACCTGTCACGGTTGGGATTTATAAAGTGGTGTGATATGAATAACATTTTTATAACTTTTGGTACAAATGGCGTAATAGCTTCTAATTCAAAGTTTATTTTCAGTTAAATGTGGCACATAAAGACTCGAGTGTAATGGGTAAACTGTTGAAAATTTTTGGATTCGAACCCACGTCTATTGGGTAAAACGTGCTCAGACGATTTAGCCACAATCTATGATCACAATATGACGTAGAAATCTCGAACTTATACGACTCTCAACTGAGCTCCTTTACATTATGCTAACACTTTCATATAACATTACAATGAATATTTGATCTTGCTCAAATTTTCAACTTCAGATTTGAACAAAAAATAAAAAAAATGCACCTTAATTGGGTAAAAACCAGAAGTATATAAAAGTAAACAGTAAATTTTGTAAAAATTTTCCATCGTAAAATTTGCCATTGTAAAATATTAAAACTTATTTTGTGAAATCTCATACCTGTACGTAATTTAAGTTAAACTCACTTGGATACGAACCTAATTAAATTTATAAACGGCGTCATAAACGCGGGCGACACATCTCGAAATTTCTAATATGCTTTAAAGTAGGTCAGCGGATATAATACCTCATAAGATTCGAGATATTATATAACGCTGACCTAACTTGTGAGAGAGTTATAACATGCTATCATAAAGA